ATGTATAGTATCATATACATAACCAGGGAAAGTATTGGAATCGTGTCAAATATGACGCTCCGAGGTTTTTTTTTTTTTGTAAATTCTCATGTTTTGAGACCTCCTGAATCGAAAAAGAGGCAAAAATTTCTGTGGATGTGTGTGTTGGCGTTCATTTCGTTTATTATCTCAGGATGGAATAAAGGTAAAAAGCGGAATTTGGCATGACGGCTTGTATATCAGGAGTATTGATACTATTAAATTTTGATGGTTAAAGATGAAGAGGGTGAGGAGATAAAGGGATGTAATGTGCCGCATCGCGAGAGGGATAGGACTTACTTGTTGTTAGCATTTGCTTTTTTATAACAAAATCTCATAACAGATGGCGCCACACACAATTTTATTTCATATAAAAGTTTTTTTTTTAAAGAAAAACTTAAAAGAGCCGGGAAAGTTACACAACTCGTTGCTGGATTGTTTTAAAATGTTGTTCGGTTCAATAAATGCTTACCTTTAAAATGATAGTTTAAATAGTTTTAACTATAACATAGTTGCTGAAAAAGTGGATATAATTTTGTAACTTTAACCTTGAATATTTCGGTAACTATCGAGAAGTTGCAAATATGTTACTCTACATTTTTTTGCTTATCTCGACGAGTTCTATCATCCATTTCCAGGAAGAACACTTTTTTGCGAGACTTTGTGTATCATCGAGAGCATTCCATTCAGGGTATCGAAAAATTGGATGTTTCCATGGGAAAAAAGTGTCACACACGTAAAGACTAGTGGACCCATGGAAAAAAAACTACGTATACCAGAAAGTAGGAAAAGACAGAGGAAGACTTGAAAGGAAAAAAAGAAGGTAAAAGTGATGGATAAGCGAGACCTCAAATAAAAAAATATATGTATAAATAGAGCAAGATGGAGAAACTGTTTTAAAAGAAGGAGACAGACCCTATAAATAAATTTACACTGTTTATATATAAATGTTCAAGGTCTCCGAGAGCTTGTATTGGGCCGGAGAATAGAGCTAATCCCTTTTTTTGAACAAATGAAATACGTAAAATGTTTTTATTAATAAAAAGCAGTCTTAACGATTTTATTTTCTAATATTTTTACTAACATTAATTCTATAGGAGTAGAAATCACTAGGGGCCCTTAAGTTTTCTCTAGGATAAGAGAAAATTCCGTTTCCCTGTCGACGACTTTGAATGTTTCTAGGATCTCTTTAAAGTGCTTATAAACATATAAGAATTTAAACTTTTAAAATATGTGAAGTATTTGTAGACACTATGTACTGTTTTCATTTTTATCTGCCAGAGAATAATTTATATTTCAGTACACTAAGAATAATAAATCTTAATTATGAAAACAATATATAAATATTAATAAATACTTTTATTGAAAAGTTCACATAAATAAAGTTATTAACACGGAAATAATATATATTATAAAGCTGTTTTCCAGCACACCATCTGTGGTTCAGCTGCTCTTTTATGTTTAGTTTAATGGCATAGATGAGGTCATTTAATAAATATAGCTATGAATGAGTAACTTACACAATGAATATTTAATTAAGCGGTATAATGTTGTACAGTACTTGGTCTTTTAAAATGGATTTAATTTTCAATTGTTCAATATGGTAATATTAAATTAATCTTTATTGTAGTTAAATAAATATTATATATTACAGTTACTATATTTATATCAATATATTATTTCATTTGCGAAGAGATCAGCTGTATAAATAAATTAAACCATATGAAATTATGTACAAACTATAATTTAAGCAGATGTTTCTAGTATTAGATGTTTCTAGTAGTATTCACTTCAGTCTATATCTTTCTAATTCATGAAATGTTATCTTATTCATCAAAGTATAGGAATTTAGAAGCGAGATACAGTAATATAATTAACATAACAAATTAGATTATGTCTATACATTAGCGAAGGGGCGAGAGTGTCACGGGTCCCAGTACAAATATTTATTTATAGAGAGCCCAGAAAGTTTATATCAATATTTTCGTTGTTATATTTCGTTACATGCATATAACCATATATAAATATATGCTTATATATTATTTTGATAATTTTCAAATGTTAGGCTATATATATATAGAGCCTAACATTTGGAAACTATAAATTATTATTCTTTTTTGTCAAGATATTAATAACCAACAGTCTCCAAAAGCTCATGCCAAAGTACTGTACATTGCACTACCTGCACCTAGCTAAGATCGACATTGATATGCACTTAAAATTTTATACATGAGGCATATACATTGTCTATATAGCTATGTATAAATAACAACTTTCACTTTTAAATTTTTGATAAAACATAACTAATTCAAAAACAAAACAAAAACACAAGTACAGGTAAGTAACTTATATGTATTTGTGATAATTCATTTTTTAAAATAGCTACTGTGTTTTATTATATTATTTACATCGTTATTGTATTAGTTCATTTAGTATATTTTGTTTTATTTTATTATTTATTTGTTAATTTATATAATTTTGTTTTAAATTTAAATGTAAAAATGTTCGAACGTTCTGTCATTTAAATGTTTAGTTAAAATACGTTCGAATTTCGATTACATCTGAAGATGGCCTATCGTATTAGTCGAAAACGTTAATGTTTGTTTAATAAACATTTCTCAGTATCAGGTGTTTGATAATTCATTAAGTATTTTAAAGAGCTGAGTATGATATTTAGTTAGATACTGATATGAAGATAAATTAACACTCTCATTCTATGTGTGTGATGTGAAAAGGCAGCTTGTACTTTTCAGGTAAAATCTCCAGCAAGATTCTTAGAAAATTATCATTAAAAGATAAAGTAATTGTTCCACGAAATATCCGCAATTTTTCGAAAATGTCATTCCGAAAATCTAGAGCAGAACAATATAAATTTTATTATAAATTGTTATCTATATTTTAAACTCGTTTAAATTAAGCAAATAAATTTTTGGTTAAAAGTCTTCTTTTAGTTCTAAAAAAAATATTTGTTATTTATAATATTCTCTCGTATATTACGAAAACTCGTGCAATAACAGCAGCGCTACGCTAGAATAACTGTAAACGGCATTCNAATGTTCGAACGTTCTGTCATTTAAATGTTTAGTTAAAATACGTTCGAATTTCGGTTACATCTGAAGATGGCCTATCGTATTAGTCGAAAACGTTAATGTTTGTTTAATAAACATTTCTCAGTATCAGGTGTTTGATAATTCATTAAGTATTTTAAAGAGCTGAGTATGATATTTAGTTAGATACTGATATGAAGATAAATTAACACTCTCATTCTATGTGTGTGATGTGAAAAGGCAGCTTGTACTTTTCAGGTAAAATCTCCAGCAAGATTCTTAGAAAATTATCATTAAAAGATAAAGTAATTGTTCCACGAAATATCCGCAATTTTTCGAAAATGTCATTCCGAAAATCTAGAGCAGAACAATATAAATTTTATTATAAATTGTTATCTATATTTTAAACTCGTTTAAATTAAGCAAATAAATTTTTGGTTAAAAGTCTTCTTTTAGTTCTAAAAAAAATATTTGTTATTTATAGTATTCTCTCGTATATTACGAAAACTCGTGCAATAACAGCAGCGCTACGCTAGAATAACTGTAAACGGCATTCAAATAAAAGTGCGTAGTTTCCTGTGTCAGGCAGGAAAGCAGATTAAGTGATGACCTTTGCCATTTATATATGAATGTTGAAAATAATTTCGTTAGGAATTTATTGTGGAAAAATCTGTTTACCCGTTATTGTTTAAATATTGATGTATTCAGTCATGTTTTCGTAATGCGAAAATTATACCTAGGTGTATAGCCTATATTATAACTAGTGATAGTAGCCTATAACTTATAAAGATAATTTAGATATAAAATATTGTGAATAAATATATATAAATGACATATAAATGTAGTATTAAGTATCCACATAAATACAAATCCACATAGGTAAACAAACAAACGTCATCTCCACGCTTCTATGAGTCAACCGGTATCGATAGGCTAATTAAATGAAACTGAGCTGTAAATTAACATAAAAGTCATTAATAATAAATGAAAGACAGTAAAATATTTAACATTTAGTTTAATTTGTATTTTTAGTAATGTTTAATAAATTGATATTTTTATTATCTGTATACTGTATTTTAATACGGTAGTTTAATAGATAAGTCTAAAAATCTGCTTAGCGTAAGATAAATATTGTATTAAATTTATTTTAAAAGCATAAAAAATAAGATCAGTTTGAAGATCTGATCAAAATTCATCAAATATTTACGCTAATTTTTATAATTTTTAAACCTATTTCTTAAAATTTTAAATAAATTTTAAATATTAAGCAGATTTTTATAAACTTAACTAGATCATAGCTTAACGCTAAGATCTATTTTAATTTTCTATATATAGGCTATATATTACAGGGGGTGAGGGATTCAGGGGTCATAGAAGATATATGGACTCCTTAATGGGGCCGGATTTGCACATAAAATAAATAAGTTGCAGCTTAGAACTTCACATTTTTACATGTAACATTTGGTAGAGGGGTTTTTTTATATGTTGTAGCTTAGGGCCACAACAAGTATAAATCAGCAGTCTTGAATTTAGAATAAAATACACTGAGTATCAAATTTTCTCTACGATTATTTATTAATGTAATTTTCTAACAGTTAAATGAAGATAAATAAATAAAACATTTTTATACGTGTACAAGTGTTATCAAATTTCAATTACAAAAATAATTTAATGCCCATACCCGGATACACCATTGTTTGTGTTGTGGTTTAGGCTATTTTGATGTTTAGAGCATTAATATTTGATTAATTTTGTATCTGTATATAGATCTAAAAAAAATTTAACTTAATATCATTTCAATAGATTATTATTATTAAATTCAACCTATTAATTTATATAAAAAAAATTAATTATAACATTCTGTAAGTGTTTCCAGCCATTGCATCAGAAACATTACCTATTTACTAGTTTCAACTGTTACGTCAGAAGTGAATCGACCAATAGACGCGCGACACGACGGCACATTTTAAAGGGAAGAGAGAAGTGAAGTGGGTAGGATTAGTGTTAGAGAAATATCTTTTAGTATTCGGGCCGACAGTTGGACATTTATACAAGCAAAATGTTACCGAAGACGATCGTGTTGACAACTCTTCCTAGCAAATTACCTTTAAGTAGAACGAATATAGAATATTCGGTAAAATCGCCACCGGACGGATGTCGAGTTTCCATTTTGATGGATTCCCCAGCGAAAATGAAAGATAGCAATTCGTCTGCTGACGAAGATATTTCTCCGGCACCGATCAGAAAAAGACAAAGATTGGATCACCTGACGAACGAGGAAAAAATGTTAAGGAGGTTTGTTGCTTTTTCTACTCCCCTTTCTATAAAATACTTCGATCGATATTAAATATGGGCGTTATGTACTGGTATATTGCGTCATCCACGTGCGTTTGACGTCAGATTAGTATTTTGGCAGACGATAACTTCCTGTAAGTGAAAATTATTGTTAATTTTTGTGATTCTTACTCCGGATAATTTATTTGGTATTAAAAAATGTTTTCTAAAATTTTACCAATTCAAATAACGCATGTCCGCCGCCATATTTATATGGGAAACGTTTCTGTTTATTTAATGCCACATTTAATTATTCAATGCAGATATTTCCTGGTATCGTCTTGTTTGTTACACATCTGTGTGTGTTATCTAGCAGTTCTACACTGGCTGGATATCACTCTAGCAGAATAAAATTTAATATTGTTTTTATTTTTTTGCATGACTTGTAATTAGGAGATTCCAGTCTCTAGCTTGTAGCCTTGGAGACATTTTACTAACAAGATGCCATTGTGGACCGGAACTTCCATATAAATAGGAAGAAAAGAAGAGCGTCTCTTTATGACTTTTATAATTAAATTCCTTTGAAAAAATAAATTGTCATTCAAAAAGGTGGTTAAACCTGCTAGATATTGCGCATTACCTTTTGTTATACATGCATGACAAAACATCATGATGCCATGATGAATAGTTGAATTTAACATTAAATGAAATAAAAATAATAATTTTATATATATGATGAAAGTTCTTTTGTGAATTACGTTTTAGCAATTGCTAAAAAAAGATACGGTTAAAGTTTACCTTGATAGCCTCAATGGCCATGCTCCCGACGGACTCTTCCTGGAGGGGAGCCGCCAGCAGGCCGCTGATTGTTTAAAGTCACTAGTTATTGATTCACAGTAGTTCTGAACAAAAGAGAAAAAAGGAAACTTCTACTAAAAATGTAGTTTATGTAACCTAACCAAAGCATTACCATTGGGACTACAAAGGTAAATTTTAACTAAAGATACTAATAAATTCTGATAAAATTTTTATTTGAAAGATTCTAATTGTTAATTATATCGTGCAACTAATTTTGAGGAATTTTGTTGGTACGTATAGAAGATGGCAAATATTTCTCTATGCGTGTATGCCACTTAATGACGAGGATAGGTTCGGAGAAATATGTTGTTAAACAACTTCATTGTATGGTGTAATTAGACAAATCTGTATGGTATAATCTAATAATATAAGTTATATGGAACACAGTTGTAACAAAATGAAAAGTGTTTATGTATATTAACATAGAAAAGGTACTGTATGGTATGTGTGAATAGTTACACTTTGACTTATGGAACTTCTGTCATTAAGTGGCATTTATCTTTGTACTGTACATTACACTATTGATACGTATAGGTCGTAGCAATGTAGCTATGTTGCCAGATGCCACTAATTTTAGGGTCGTATTTCATGCCATAGATTGGTGTTTTGAGAATTTAGTTAAGGTTTCTATAAATTGAGACTTTTTTAATGTCTTAGAAAATATATTATACTAATTTAATTAAAAATTTTTAATTATTAAAAATGTGAAAAGTTTTTCTATCATTCAAACTGTAAATTTAATAGATTTTATTGATTAGTTATTATGTTGATTTCAGTTATATATTTACAGTTGTTAATGTAAATTAAGTTTACCTTTATGAATATTTTTGTTAAATATATGCAGTATAGTAACAATAGTTATATCCCAGGTGATTAATGGAATATACCTTTACATAGATTTAATTATTAGTATTTAACAGTTTTATGAATAAATTAAGGCATAATGTTGAATATATTATTTCTTCTGACATTAATATTCTTCAAAACAAATAAGATTGTTCTGTCCGGTTTACAAAATGCTTATTAATTTCTGTTCAAATGTAAAAGGACGCATTAATGAATTTTTAAATTTTTTATCTGTTAATGTTCAAAATTTTATGAAAATTTTTATTTTATTAGAACATTATACAATTTTATTTTAACAAATTCTTTATACATTATTGTAATCCTTTTTCATGAAAGTAAAATTACAAATATAAATATCCACAAATTTTAAACTACAGAAAAAAATATTTGTTGTAATGGAGTATTTGTTGTAACCAGAGATATGCTGATCAATTTTAATAACTTGTCCCAGTTTGTCCAAGTAAATGATAAGAGGTGGAGAATAAAAATTTGAAGAAAAATGCAGACATAATTTATGAATAGCCCATAAGTACTTAGACTGCGAAAAATGGACTTGCATTATGTTCATAATCAATGGTTATGCAATGTCATTTACTGACAAATTTTTAATTGATCAAAGTGTGTGATTATTTTAAAATATCAATACTAAATGTGAATTGTTTATAAATAAAAAGTTCACACTGAATTATACGTAAATTATGTGATTTCTCAATTTTTTCCCAAAAATGGACTTGCACCACTTTTAAAATAAATGGTCCCCATATGTGCTCTGAAGGAGTTGGAGAATCTTGGATGAGACACTTTATGTGATGACTTCCAAGCAGAGAGATGATCTCTGTCCTTGTAATTAATGCCATTTGATCTTCTGGCTCTTGTGTATTTCATACAAGGCAACCAGATGTTACAATGTTCTTTTTGTTTGAAACATTTGCTATAATTACACAGTTCAGATTTATTAGGTTAAACCTGATGATGGCCATTTAAGATGGTTGAAAATATTTGTCTATTAAAGTGTATGTTTTACTGGATTTTTGGTGTTGGTGTGTTAATTTGATTATTTTAAAGTTTTTCGGTACAAATTAATATATCAGTAATTATAAATTTGATATCATAATTTAAAATATTTTGAATATTTTTATTTTAAATGCATTTTATTGCATTAAGACTTAAATAATTTTTTCCTATCCAAATATTATTTTCATTTGAAATTTTATTGTATATATTTTTTTTAACAAATAAAAAATTTAGAGTAATATTTTGAGAAAAGATGTTGTTAACAAGAGAATATTTATTTTTATAGGAAATTAAAAAATAGAGTAGCTGCTCAGTGTGCAAGAGACAGGAAAAAAGCAAGAATGTCGTCTTTAGAAGATCAAGTAACAACATTAGAAAATGAAGTAAGTGGAAATTTTAAGTCTTCATTTTTCCATTCAAATTTATAATGAAAATAAATTTATTTTAGTTTATTAATATAAATGATTTAATTCAATTAGAAAGAAGAACTTTTGAAAGAAAATATACTCCTTAAAGAACGTAATGAAAAGCTTGAAAAAGAAAATTTAGAATTAAGAAGGAAATTAGAAGAAAATTCAGTGAAGCAATCAGNACACTGAATTATACGTAAATTATGTGATTTCTCAATTTTTTCCCAAAAATGGACTTGCACCACTTTTAAAATAAATGGTCCCCATATGTGCTCTGAAGGAGTTGGAGAATCTTGGATGAGACACTTTATGTAATGACTTCCAAGCAGAGAGATGATCTCTGTCCTTGTAATTAATGCCCATTTGATCTTCTGGCTCTTGTGTATTTCATACAAGGCAACCAGATGTTACAATGTTCTTTTTGTTTGAAACATTTGCTATAATTACACAGTTCAGATTTATTAGGTTAAACCTGATGATGGCCATTTAAGATGGTTGAAAATATTTGTCTATTAAAGTGTATGTTTTACTGGATTTTTGGTGTTGGTGTGTTAATTTGATTATTTTAAAGTTTTTCGGTACAAATTAATATATCAGTAATTATAAATTTGATATCATAATTTAAAATATTTTGAATATTTTTATTTTAAATGCATTTTATTGCATTAAGACTTAAATAATTTTTTCCTATCCAAATATTATTTTCATTTGAAATTTTATTGTATATATTTTTTTTAACAAATAAAAAATTTAGAGTAATATTTTGAGAAAAGATGTTGTTAACAAGAGAATATTTATTTTTATAGGAAATTAAAAAATAGAGTAGCTGCTCAGTGTGCAAGAGACAGGAAAAAAGCAAGAATGTCGTCTTTAGAAGATCAAGTAACAACATTAGAAAATGAAGTAAGTGGAAATTTTAAGTCTTCATTTTTCCATTCAAATTTATAATGAAAATAAATTTATTTTAGTTTATTAATATAAATGATTTAATTCAATTAGAAAGAAGAACTTTTGAAAGAAAATATACTCCTTAAAGAACGTAATGAAAAGCTTGAAAAAGAAAATTTAGAATTAAGAAGGAAATTAGAAGAAAATTCAGTGAAGCAATCAGAACAAGTATGTTTAGTTCAAATTTTTACATTTTATTATATAAATTTCATTCTCAAATAATTAATTATAAATTAAACAGTTAGATCTCTATACTTATTCATGAGTGTTACACTGATATAGTCAATTTTACTAAGCAAAATTTAACAGTTGCATGTAAATTATATGAAACTTAAAACAATTTTCTATTTCCAACACAATTTTCCAAAACTTTTCCCTTACTTTATATTATGTAGAGAATAAGATGAATTATGCGTGCAGATATATGAAACTATTGAAATCTTACTAAATTTTAAGTCAAACTTTATTGTAAAGCACATTTTTAATTCATTTTATATCTGTCTGCCATTATTTTTTTTAATTATAAATATGCAGGATTACACTAAACTCTCAAATATTGAGAGAAATTTTAAATTTTCTCAGTTTTTCTTTAAATTAATCATGTAATTTAATTTTTTTTATTGAAACAGAAATTTTGTTCTGTAAATAAATATTTCCAGATAATTTTTTGAATTCCTAACTCTAGTTCCTTGTTCCTATAAATGCATAGTTAGATTATGCAATACTGTCTGGATCCCTGGATTTCTGTCTGAAAGCTTTCTTTTCTAAGCATTAAAGCCAACAGATTACATAAATTTCTCATAGCTAGTTGTAGTAGTAAAAATAAAGTGCATTATAAAAGTGAGGTTGGTATTTTGTCATAAATTATCTCAATAGTGATAGTCATTTTATCATGAAATATTCTATCATTGCTAGATATACCAACATCTGTTGAAGTTTCCAGTGAGAGCCAATTTTGAAACTAAATATATCAACAGATGTTAAAATATTTAATTTCATAATCCATTATCTAAGTTTGTCAGTAATAAATGATTTAAAAAATGCATTAAGGTAATCTTAATTTTGATTTTTATTTGCTTATTATATTTGTCAACTTGGACTTAAATTATTAATAGGACTGTTAAACTGGTGTTAAGTATTAATGCAAAATTGAGCAAAAGTTCTCAAAGAAAAACAGACTTCCTTTATTGATCCTCCTGTACACATACTTTTGTTTACAACTGTGTTTTGGGCTATCACGCCCCTCCTCAGCAGGGTTGCAATGGCTATCATTTTTAACTACAAATAAATTATCAATAAATTTTAAAAACACTAAAAATCATTAAAATTAATTTATACAAAATAAAAAGCTTACAAAATACAAGAATCCAACTCCCGACAACAATGGGCTCTTTGATGGAATTTTAAATTGATTCATTATCTTATTATAAGAATTAAAATTACATTGAAAAATAAAAATCANACAAAATAAAAAGCTTACAAAATACAAGAATCCAACTCCCGACAACAATGGGCTCTTTGATGGAATTTTAAATTGATTCATTATCTTATTATAAGAATTAAAATTACATTGGAAAATAAAATCACTCAAAAAATTTATTCCTAAGATGCGATTAAAAAGGAGGTTTTTTTACCTTTTCAATGTTCAGCTCAAATGTACAATACTTTCGCGTGTGGATGGCTGCCCATGATTAATTTAGGTAGAATAATTCATGGTAGAATAATTCATTTCTAATTTAGGTAGAACCAATCATGGGCAGCCATCCATGATGATGACTGCAAGTAAAAACGATAGCGCACTCAACACGTGAAAGTATTGTACGTTTGAGCTGAACATTGAAACGGTAAAAAAAACCTCCTTTTTAATCGCATCTTAGGAATAATTTTTTGAGTGATTTTTATTTTTCAATGTAATTTTAATTCTTATAATAAGATAATGAATCAATTTAAAATTCCATCAAAGAGCCCATTGTTGTCGGGAGTTGGATTCTTGTATTTTGTAAGCTTTTTATTTTGTATAAATTAATTTTAATGATTTTTAGTGTTTTTAAAATTTATTGATAATTTATTTGTAGTTAAAAATGATAGCCATTGTAACCCTGCTGAGGAAGGGTGTGATAGCCCAAAACACAGTTGTAAACAAAAGTACTGTATGTGTACAGGAGGATCAATAAAGGAAGTCTGTTTTTCTTTGAGAACTTTTGCTCAATTTTGCATTAATACTTAACACCAGTTTAACAGTCCTATTAATAATTTCCAAGTTCCAAGTTGGACATTAATAAGTCCAAGTTGACAAATATAATAAGCATTGAAATAAGGACAATAAGGCAATAATAATTAATTCATTTTTATTTCTTTAAAATGAAATAAATACAACACTTTTTTTTAAAAAACTTGTTTCTATATCATTTTCAATATTTCATCTCTGAATTGCTTTTTATGCTACAAGTAACTCTTAACTTTTTTTAATAATGAATATTTGATAATTAAAAGTTTACATGATGAAATACAATATCTAGAAAATTTTTACCCCCTTCTGTATAAGTTTATAGGTTTAATCAAAACTACATGAAGAATAAATTTAAAAATTTGTGTGTAACTTTACATTATTTGACATTATTGAAAATGAAAATTTGTTTATTTTAAATGGTACAGAATCACATTAATTTACAAATTTTCTGACGATGAACAAAAACTTTATGCATTGTCATAAAGAATTTAGCATTCTTACTAATCAGATTCTTTTTGTTTTTTACAGATAAGGCAAATTAAAATCTATATGATGATAGATATAATTTATTAAATAGTATATTTGTGATTTGCTGTTGTAATTGAGACAAAAAAAATAACCAAAAAATAAATTATTTAATAATTTTTCTGAAATATAATTGTTAGTTTGAATTTAAAAAAGTTTAATTAAACATTTAAAAAATTGGTCATAAATTGTATTTTTTATTAATTAATTAATAATAGTATTGATTTTGATGTTTTTGTTTTATGAGAAGAAAAAAGTTATTCAAAGACTTTTTTTGCTGTTAACTAAAAAAAAACCGACTAAAAATTTTTTTAGTCAGTAAGTAATCTTGAGATAGCAAGATATAATTTTTGATTTATATTTATATTTGGATACTCTGTTTACTCTAATTTTTACTTAATACTAGAGTAACTAAAGTAATTAAATAATTTTATTTTCTATATTATTTCAGATATTTTGAGTCTTGGAGTTGAGCTGTGTTTATTCTCAACACTTCTTGACTAGAGATATTATTTGAATAATGAATGGAATTACATTCCACTAATTTAATATTTTGGTCATATTTATAAAAATAAAATCATTTGAGATTTAATTTTATAGATAGATGTTGGTAAAAATACAAATTAAGCAAACCTTTACATCCAGTAAGCATGTGCATTATGTAAATCAGTACTATATAAAAGAACATCGTCAATCTGACACAGCAAACTAGCCTCCACTTCTGCTGGATGGCATGCAGTTGTTAAATTGTAAGTGGTTCATGCTGATTAACTGTTTTTCTTTTGCTAGGGTTTTTTACCTAATCAGGTTAATTGTTTGACATTTTGAATAATTGTAAATTTGTACTAATATAAAGTTATATAAATGAACATAAAATTTGTAACTGGGTAAAATGTGTTTGAAATTTAATAGGTTGAGGAATGTTCTTGTACTAATTCTATTTTGGAACTTAGATGTTTCTACTAGAAGACTGAGAATGACACTTCAATTCTGATCAAAAATGTTATCTTTGAAATAAGATAATGCAATGCTGGAGTTACGGCTGTGTACACACTAGGCGTTTTGTGTTGTGTTAAATGCGCGTTAGCAGTGTACACACCAGGCATTAGCTCAGCATTAGACAAGCATTTAGTGGAGCATATGCACTGGCTCAGTTTGGAAATGGACATGAAAGTAATTGCTTGTGTGCCCCTCCTCCATTGTCGCTATAAAAGACGATGGCAGAGGCAAGGAGAATTTTGGGTGCACCCAATATTACGAGATAGACTGATGCATGGAATGTTTCTGACGTTGTATCCAAAACTAAGATAATATGAACCCAAATTTTTTAATTCTTTTAGAATATCTATAAAATCATTTGACGATGGCTGGTCTCTTTTAGATTTCATCAATAGTCGTATCAGTATTGAAATGATCGTTCTCCAATTCGGCCAACGTACGTCCACTCTACCCGAAAACACGCAATCGAATGTACAGTAACATGGCAGCACACATATCTCAAAGCGCTTGGCTGATGCCCGCAAAACGCGCATTTTAAGAAAAATCTATAAACACGCATTTGAGCGTGTACGCCTATGCAGAACTCTTGGTTCGTCAAACGCGCGTTTAAAAACGCCTAGTGTGTACGCAGCCTAAAGGTTTGTATACAAATGTTTTATACAAATGTTTTATACAAATGAAGCTGTAGTTGAGAAGTGTTACGATAGCAGTTGAGATTTAACACAATTCATTTCCAATGGAAAATAAAAAGTGTTTATTTAAAGTAACTAAATATAACAATAAATAAAAATTCTCTTTCTCAAATATTTAAAGCTTTTTGTATATTTTACAGAAAGCAATTTTTAATTTAAACAAAAAAATTTAGAACTTTTTAAAAATTCTAAAGTAATTTTCCAAAGAATGTGTGTTTATATTTAATCATACTAAGTAAAACTGTAAGAATTTGCAATTGTAATATTAATGTATTTACTTTATTCATTTAAATAGGAAAGTAAAAATTATTCTCAAATTTTGCTTCACTTTTTTTGAAGCAAAATTTGAGAATAATTTTTACTTTCCTATAAATATGTGAACATTAGTCACTTAAATATTTAATTATAATACTTATTAATACTTATTGTATAATATGTATTTATACAATATTAATATCAAACATTATTTTTTATGTATATAAAAAAATTGCTCTTAAATGTTGTTAATATTTGTTTTTGTTATTAATTAGGTTACAAATGTGTGTATCAAGAAAGAGGATGATTGTTGTGGATTCATTGAGCATGCATCGCCCATTAATGGTCCTCTGCAGAAGGATCAGGATCTGCAGCTTCATACTCTCTTGATGATGCAATTCGTATGCTTGCAGATGATTGTGAAGTAAGTGAAATTTTAAATTTAGAATAAAGTATTTTATTGCTAAATTATAAATTAAATAAAAGTAAAATCATTTTTTTGTTACTGGTTATAAAGTTTACATATAAAATACATATATATACATATATTTCAGTAATACCCCAAACTTATGCGATAGGTGGGACCGAGTGGTAACCGCGTAAGTCGGAGTATAATTTCGCATATAAATACATACAAATAATTTTTAATTGGGGCTGGAAACTAAAGAAAACAATAATTTAGAAAAAAATGTTTAATAAGATCTTAGATAATACATATGTATAACAAATTAGGCCTATATTATTTTACAATTTTTCACATTTACATTTATTATATCAGGCCATAATTTTAACATTGTTTCCATCTCAGCGATAATACTGTGACGTTTATGAATGATGCTTGAATTTAAAGATTCAGCTTCGAGAATTTTTTCTTTGCCTTTTTATAATTGTTCTGACCGTCAATTCCGGTAGATCAAATATTTTTGCCAGTTCACAAATTTTTGTTTTTGTATCGAAGCTTTTAATAATGGGTACGTTTGTAAAGTCAAACGAGTTAGTAACGAACCATTCGAAAAGTCTAACAAAATAGGAATAACGATGACGTCATTCTCGTTTAACTTGTTTGACTTTACGAACGTATTCAATGTTAACTTTACATTCCAAAGATAAAGTTTTTCTTTTCTTGTTTGATGCAGAAGAATTAGTTTAAATATAACTTAAAATTAAAGTAAATTGTTTTTNCTGTGACATTTACGAATGATGCTTGAATTTAAAGATTGATCATTTTTCACAGCTTCGAGAATTTTTTCTTTGTCTTTTATAATTGTTCTGGCTGACAATTCTGGTAGATCAAACTTCTTTGCCAATTCACAAATTTTCATTTTTGTATTGAAGTCTTTAATAATGGGTACGTTCGTAAAGTCAAACGAGTTAAACGCGTTAGTAACGAATCATTCGAAAAGTCTTAACGAAATAGGAATAATGATGACGTCATTCTCGTTTAACTTGTTCGACTTTACGAATATACCCAATGTTAACTTTACATTCCAAAGATAAAGCTTTTCTTTTCTTGTTAGATGCAGAAGAATTAGTTCTACTTCGTTTGGATGACATAGTAGAGTCTCTCAAGGCTCCGTAGATATAACAAACACAGAAATAAATAACACAAAATAAATTGTAGCTATGTGTGGATTCCACATGACACATCCGAACATGTAAGCTGAACAATAGTGTGGGGGGAGTGAGTAATCAAGGGTTGCATGGCGCTCAAACAAAAGACAAATCGACGAGATTTGAAAATCGCATAACTCCAGGTTTGCGTAAGTCGGGGTATTACTTTATAGACAGTAAGTCCTTTACTTATGCAATGTGTAAGATTTGTAGATGTGCAGTTGCAATACTTAGAATCCTTGTCTATTAAGTGCCACTTTGATTATACTAATAGGTGACAGAAACTTTTATTTTCTAAAGTTTTTTCCATAAATAGCTTTTCTAGTTTTGACCTTTCAAATAAATATACATGTTAAACATATTACATTAGTTATAACATTTTTTAAATTTGCATGAAAATCTTTTGGAACAAAGAATTTTATAAGTTCAGGACTTACAGTCTATCAAAAAGTATAATTTATTTAAAATGAATACATATATTCATTTTGAATAAAATACACTTATTATATGATCAGAATTAAAAGCATTTTGTGTATGAAAAATTGAAATCTAAACTTTTAAGCTTCAAAATGATTATTATATCAATTATTCTCAGTTATTAAAGAAAAATTGATTATGTTTAATTTGGATTATATTACTAAAAATTTTATTTTAATTTAAGAATGATGTTAATTGATTTTGATTTTCAAAATGTGGCAAGTTCAGTTTTAAGTTTGTATTTAAGATTTCAAAATCTGAAGTAATTAGAATAAATTTATTTGCAGCCTGATGACTTTCTTGACTTGTTACAACAGTGTAGTGAAGAATTATTGCAAAACTCAGTTATTTCTTCCACCACTGGAAGCGAAACAAGTGAAAAAGTAAGTAATAGAACAGTGTTAAATCTTTTTATATTAATTTTCTGAAAGTTTTTGTGTGAATGAAAATATCAAGTGAAAGATGAATGATAAATTTTTAATAATTTTAAAATAAAGTATTGTTGGTATTCTGTTATTCTAATATTAGTTAAAGAATTATATTAATTAAAATAAGAAATAAAGAAGTTTATTAAGTATGTAACAGAATGCCAGAAATTATGCAAATTAATGTTAAAAAATTCAGCAATGAGTTGCATAATCTTCCTGGCCAAATTTTAAAATTGTGTGGAGATGCCATCTGTTAGGATATTTTATTTAAAAACTTTTTATATTATTATAAAATGGTAAAAGGTTCATTCTGAGGGTAGAGTTTTATAACAAAAAAAAGTTGCAAATGCTAATAAGAAGTAAAATCTTTAAGTCCAACCCTGTTTGAGTTATTACAAGTAATTCTTAATTAACAAGTAAATAATTATTAACTTCAAATTGGTGAACAAAGCCATGATGATAAGCACACTAATATCCATAAATACAGGGCAAAAAAACCAAATTTTTTGTATTTTTTAACGTTTCAAGATTTTGAGTCTAAAAATCTTGGGAGGTCATTTTCTGACTGATTGCCATACTTTCCCTCTGTTACATACAACACAACATCCAGGAAAGTAAAAATTGAAATTCTTAATTTTTACAAAACTACTACATATCACAATAATTTCTTCTTTTTAGGAATTTAGTTATAGTTCAGTTTCTACTTTAAAATAATAGTTTATTCATTTAATTATTGCAGAATAGTGCATAGGGTTACTATTACATCTGAAAATGACCTGATAATATTTATAAAATAAAAAAAATCAAAACTTAAAACATATAAAATATGTAGCATCAGTTGTTAAGAAAGTTACTGTCAAATGTTTTTTTTTTATTATTTTTAAGATAAAACTTTTATATTTGCAACTTCTTGATATAAATTGCATGAGTAAAGCAAAGTAAATTGTATGATGATAGCAAAAATCTAATATGAATGGATTGATATAAAAGATGTAGATTTAATTTATGTTAAAAAAAAGTTCAGGAGGAAAATGCAGAGTGAATAAGTACTGCTTTTAATTTTGTATTGTATTTAAAACGCAATTCTTTATATGAATATATAGTATGTAATATCATAATAGATAATTTCATATCACAAATAATAGAGACTTTGTTAAATAATAATAAACTTCAAATATGTATATAGCAATTTGTCTTATAGATATTATAAATTAAGAATTTTCTCTTTTCAAATCTTTATTGAAAATTTCATTGGAAGATGAATTTTAATAAATGATATTAATTGCTTAGGATTTTTTTACTCTGAAGTCATTTTTAATTTTTATTGAAATAAAAAAATGTCTATTCCTTTCTAAATCTTCAAATACTATGACTACATCATTTTTTCTGTTTTATGCCTTTTAGTATTAAAGTACAGTTATCCCTCTATAGTCCAATGTTTTTAATCTGATATGCTCAGTAGTCCGACGCACCTCCCGTCAAGGTACCCGTCCCCGTTATGTGTCTGCTTGCACAGAAGCATGTCGCGATGTGAATCTCCCCATCCAATTCTTACTCGATGACACACATTTCGTGTGTTTTATGTGAGCAGTTCTGTTCGAACAGTTGGAGTAGAGAATATTGTAAGTTACTGCTAGCAAAACAATGCGAAATATGTAATTATTTTCGGTAATCCGGACACTTTTGGTAATCTGACACACCTTTGGTCCCATATCTGTCGGATTATCAAGGGACAACTGTATACATAGAAACTTTAATGGTTTTTTTCTTTTTTTAAGAGAAACTTTATGGCAAAGAGAAAATAAAAGATTTAAAGTAACTTTCTTTTATACACAAAGTTTATTAAGTCAACTTTCATTCATACATTACAATTTGCACAATTCCTTTTAATTAAAAAGAATTGTGCAATTTTAATGTGTTACACCATTTAATTCTAAGTTAATATATTTATTGTTGAATATCAAGTAAATTTGCTGCAATTAGATTCAGTTTCAAAGTTGTTAATCAGAATACAATTTTTAATGTTCTCTTTAATGCATTTAAAAATTTTAAATATTATTATAATTACAGAAACTTTTTCAGTAATTTAAAAGTTAAATTTGAACTTAATAGCTGTATTTATTATAAATCTAGATCAATTCCGAAGAGGAAACCAATGATAAAATGGTGGGGACCACATCAGCAAAATTGGAATCCATCAAAGAACTGATTGAATTTGATCATGTTTACTATAAACATGAAGATGAAGATAATTCATTATCTAATCAACAAGTTATTTCCACCGAAAGTACACTAAATGGAACAGAGTGTTTGCCAATGATATATGAATGTAGCATGGATCTTTCTGAGACAAGCATAAGCAAACAAAGGGAACAAGATAAAATGTGTCTATCTCCTACCAATCCAGACATTACAATTCCATCTATTGCCATTAAACAAGAATATAAAGATATTCCTAATCCAGTGTCACCACTTTCCTCTGAAATTTTTGCTGGTCACTCTCCTAGTCCTTCAATCAGTGACTCTGGCTATGAATCTATCAGTTCTCCGATTAGTGAAGTTGGCACTTTTCTGGAAGAACCTTGGTCTGACACATTAACAGAACTGTTTCCTTCTTTAGTTTAGTTTATTTATCATTTTTAATTACTCTGTAAATATTTGTTTGTACAGAATGCGTAATCTTTCAGTGGAAATAAATCTTGTTGTATGCACAAATTTTGGATTTTATTTATTTATTCATTTATTATTATTTTTTGTTTACCATATTTTATATATAGACCAGTACAAGTATTTTGAATCAACCTATACTTTCGATTGTAATCAACGTAACATGATAAATTTTGGACTATGTTAGCACGACAGTTGTATGCAACTAGATTTCATTGTCACAAATCCAAAGTTTTAGTTTTTTTAATTTAAATTTTGCCGATTTTTTAGAGTTGGAGTTATTAGTGTTTGACTCCAGATTCCGAGTTGGTGAATACCAATTTAGCAATAACTCAAGATTCAATCTTACCTCTTGGTGGATATGGGGGTAAGAGAGCCTTTTTATACAAGACCATTGTGGGTTTGTTCAGGATATGGCTGGGTAGTTGAGAGACTGGGCCCGACATCTGGGATGGACTACCAAACTCTTCCCTTTTATCTGGTAGGCTTAAGGAACTGACAGATCAAAATTGACGAAATCTCACGCGTTGTAAAACAAAATCTCCAGCTATTCTTAGTGAACACCACCAATGACTTCCATAAGAGCTCGGAAACAGATGCCAGTGACAGAACTATTCACCAGTTGTTTGCCTTCGGCTATTGTGGACATGCGGCGGTTCAAAAGCCATTCGTTACGTTTGTCGATGCTGTCAGTAGTTTGGAATAGTGCAATCAACACTCATTGGAATGTGAAGCAATGGAAAGATATTTGTCCTGATAAATCATTATACATGATGTGGAAATCTGATATTAGTCCAGACTTGGCAGATGGGTGAACAGTCCGTACAAGAATGTGATGTATAGACTGAAATGTGGAGGTGTTAGCAAAATGATCTGGGGCTAGATTTGGAATGGGCCCATTGGTTTCTGATTGGATCTATAAATACTTATATTCAAGACATCCTTCCTGTTTCGGCACAATAACACACTTGTTCACAAAGTAAGTTCCATAACTTCGTGGTTTGAAGACTTGCAGTTGAAAGAACTTGACTGCCCGCCTTCAAAATCCCGATTTCAACCCAATTGAACATCTTTGAGGTAAGCTGGAGCGATTACATGCTTGATCTGCTCAGCCCAGCAACTAAACACCATATTACAGGAGGAATGGAAATGAATTCCAGTAGCAGTTTACTAGAAGTTAGTGGAAAGTCCCCCGAAGAGTAATGACCGTACATACAATAAATAAACTAATTGTTATTCTCAAAACGGAAATTTTCTCTAATAGCAGCCTGAAAAATGAACAAAGGCTTTTATTAAAATGCGCACGACGATTGTATTGCGGATGCCCCTATAAACCGTATTTGTCATCTTAAATGGTTTTAAAAGCAATGTTTTGAAGTTCGAACAAATAAATTTTAATTTTTTGTATCAATAGGATAATTACCATGATCAGTAACGGATGCAAAGAACTTAAGCCCTAGGAAGGGCTTAAGTTCTTTGCATCCGTTACTGATCATGGTAAGTGCTTTTACCTGCAATTCTTAGAAATCACAAGTTTATTTCAATGTAAAAGTATAAGTATTGATAAAAGCTATTCGGTAACTTCTACCAGATGGTGCTAGGTTGTTTGGTTGTTGGTGTACAACTATCAGGATAAAGTAATTTGTGACGACTGTTCACGTAGCATTGTGTTTCGATTGTTCCCCCTTTCTTCTTTTTGTTTTACTGTATCATATTCAATAAATTCATACGTATATATCACAAATTCAGTAGTTAATAACAGTCTTTATTGGAAATATAAAAATTAATTAAAAAGAAAATTTGAATATATAAATGCAAAAGGCAAGGTTGTTATTAACTTAGAAATACAAACTTATTCGTAATTTGAAGTTTAGACTATGTACAAAAAGTCAAAAAACTTTTGAGTCCTTCTTTATCCTTTATACACCACCATAGAAGTAACAGCTTAAAAAAATGCTTTGAAGAACTCTTCTTAAACACTGATAAAAATTGGTAAAAAATTCCACAAGGTTAAAAAGCTGGATGGAAATGATGGTGTGAAGAATTTCTGTGTTTTTAATTGTAAAAGTGTCAGAAACCTACAATGAAAGGCTGACACTTGATCTTTTTTAACCTTGTGGAATTTTTTACCAATTTTTATCAGTGTTTAAGAAGAGTTCTTCAAAGCATTTTTTTAAGCTGTTACTTCTATGGTGGTGTATAAAGGATAAAGAAGGACTCAAAAGTTTTTTGATTTTTTGTACATAGTCTAAACTTCAAATTACGAAGAAAATAAATCCTGAGTTATCACAAAAATTGTACAAACTTATTGTTTAACTAAATTGAAACGTATATATGAATCATCAAATAAAAGAAATAAGGGCAAAGAAAAATAAAGTAAATCCCCAACGTGATACGAACATTCGTTATAAGTTCACTTGGTTATCATTAAAGTGATAGCTGCACGAAAACCACTACTATGCTTATCATTTTCCGGTAATTGTGTTCAGTGATCCGTATTTAGAGTTTAATACTAACTTTTAACCTGAAATATCTCTCATATTCTTACCAGAACCTTCACAATCAACTGCGGAGCCCGAATTAATCATGAAATGCGAGGCCCCTTAAAAATATACATTATTTTTTCGAATAAAATTGTAAAAATTATATAAATTTTAAATAAAGACATTCTTTATCTATGTTTAAAAAAATCCAATAATAAAACTATACAATTTAAAATATTACAAATTTTTAAAAATTCAGAGAGAAAAATTAAGAAAAGTATTAATTAAAAAGAATATCAGAAAATTTATTATGTGCTCTGATTTCGGGGAAATCCTAAATTTTACCATCAAAATTAATTTTTCATATATTTCATGTTCTACTGACAATAGTTAGATTCGGGAACGAACCTGCAGTACAGACAAATATTTAAAATATTGTAATGGAGTCTCATTAGTAATATCACTGCAGTATAGGCACAAAATATTTTAATTTCGTCGTATAAATCGTCTCATTTATATCCTGATTATCGTCATTCATCGGTGCTAAAACTAAATCCGTACAATGATTCATAAGGTGATCATCGTCCATCGTCTTTAATATAGAAATATTGTAAAGGAAACCAAAAATGGCATCATGCTCTTCAATCAATAGGGATTATTCCTTGATATACTATTGCTAAAAATAGTTCCTACAGAAGTTTTTCATGAGTATTTGTATGTTAGGGGCCGTCCATAAATTACGTAAGGTATTTTGGGGTGGGTGTCAAGGATTTCTTACGATTTCTTACTCGGGTAGGGAGGTAATAGATCTCGTCTTACGTAATATTCTTAGTTTTATTTTTTGATCTCGTTGAGTGGTGGAGTTTTGAATTTAGCTTCAATTTGACGGTTTCTATTAAGAACGCTCGTTATACCAATGCCATCTCGTGTAACGTGATAAAATAATAACGCTATGCTAGCGTTATTATTTTATCACGCTCTACACATTTTTTATTTTGGGAGAAAGGCCCTATGGTGGTTTCTCTCTATTCTCTTTGTTTTGTTTTGTATGACGTTTCTGTTTACGCATGTACTAACTAGTCGATCTGTCAAAATTTTTTGCGTCCTTTTGTGAAAATTAATATAAAAGTGACTATTATGACTTTGATTAATGGTAATAATAATGAAAAGATGGTTGATAATTAAAAATAATTACTGTAAAATAAATTGTTCATTCAAATTCATTACATTTTTATACAGTATTTTTAAATTTGTTCACATAGTCTTTTATAAATAATAGTACATATTAATTAACTAATTAATAATTATATATTTTGGACCTAAGGTTTTTAGGGTTTCAAAAAAAAACTTTTTTTGCTAAAATCTTTCTAAAAAATCATGCCTAAATATTACGTAAGATAGGGAAGGGGAGGGGATAAAAGAAAATATTACGGTTTCTTACACAGGAGTAGGTGGGAGTCTAGAATGGCCAAAATTACACTTACGTAATTTATGGACGGCCCCTTACATGTACAGTAATACCCCGAACTTACGCGATAGGTGGGGCCGAGCGATAACCGCGTAAGTCGAATTCGCGTAAGTCGGGGTATAATTTCGCAATTTGTGTAAAATCCAAGTCGGATGTATGTAAGCTAATAAATGTTCTCATTAATCTTATCTCGTCTTTTGATTCGTTCACGGTTGCAAGAAATCACCACATAAAGTCTCTCGAGTCTCCGTAGATATAACAAACACAGAAATAGCTACAATTTATTTTGTGTTATTTATGTGTCGATTCCGCGCGACACGTCTGAACATGTAAGCTGAACAATAGTGTGGGGGGAGTGAGTAATCAAGAGTTGCGTGGCGCTCAAACAAAAGACGAATCGACGAGATTTGAAAATCGCGTAACTCCGGGTTCGCGTAAGTCGAGGTATTACTGTATCCGTTTATTCGTAATCGAAAAAGTTTTCGTTTTTCATCCGACTACTTTGAATAGGTCTACAAGAGGAATGTCGAATTTTGTGAAAATTACTCATTTGCTATCAATTTTGATTTTAAGAAACCATTTTCTCTGAAATTTTTTAAAATAATCCATTAATATTTATAATGGTGACATTACAATACATAAATCTGTATCTTTTTTTCACGCTACTTATTTACCGCAGACGGAAATTCGTACCAAATTACCGATAATAGCACAAATTCAAAACTATAGTCGTTTGGAATATTTTGTTTTTCAATTTTTCTTTGGAATTTTATCGCAACAATAGTTTGGCGCTATTTTCGTCAGTTATTAACGTTATTATTAAATACTTCAATGTTTAGTTCTTTTACATTTTTACAATTTTCTGTGTATTAAATGCCTGAATATGGTACAGAGAATTTATCGGTGCTCAATATATTTCCTATGGAGCGCTACCCAAATTACTGTGAAAAAGCGGAATGACATAAAGAAGTCAAAAACAACAACTTAAAGGCGAGTCATGGCAAATATCCCAGTTGCCGGGCTCTAACCGCGGTACTGATTCTTACAACTGCAGAGAAAGAGTTACTACGGTTATCATATAACTATAATCTATTACA